CATACATAAGAGTATAATTAATGTGTATGATATCAGTTAAAATAAGTGCTTCAACTTAGTTAACATTGCAGGAAAGCAATATATTAGACGTTAAAGGTGGGGTAGGTAAGTTTCAGAAACCGGCACGAGTGCACTAAAATTTGAAAGTACACAGCCAAAAAGAATCCGCCCCTTCCTTCAGACTTCCTTACAGAGCACCTCCTCCGCGAGAGCAGGCTGCAGTAACGTTACATATCAGGCAAAGCTAGACACATCTAGGTTAGCAATACTACACAGCCAAAGCAACTCCGATATTGACTCTGGTTTGACTTCTCCTAGTTTCTCTTTTTGTTCTTAATTTGCTCCGTTACATTTTTTCTTTTGCGACCAGTAGACGATGTTGAACCTAACTCTGCCATGGGGAAAGTGGCCGCCTGTTGCTGGCGAGTCATTGAAGTACTGCTGCAATGCACGCCCAATGAGGGCACGAGATACATTTGTGCGTGCACGAGATGGAAGGCTGACAGACAGGGCGGCAATCCAATCCGTTTAGCGTAGTTTTTACAGTATTACGGGTTCCACTAGATGACACTTTTTTATGGATTTTTTGTCAAAGCACTTAAGATATTCATTGCTATCGGGATGTTAAGAGCATTCCATGGAATATAACAAAAAGTGTATCTCGAGCCGGTTTCTGAAACTTACCTACCCCACCTTTAATGTTGTTGTTGCACGTCACCTCAACCCCCCCAAGTATATTTCAGATCTGCGGGAAACACTGAAAGTCTAACATTGTTTATCTGGAAATTGCTGGATGTGAAGGACTAGATAAAGTATAGCTAATGTACAGTTAAAAAATCATACAGACATAGACAGGCATTCAGATGTATATATATTCAGAAAGTAATCCATGTTGTTTTCCGATGAAGGAACTGAAAAATAATGTGTTTTTGTTGTCAAAGCTGACCGATAAATTTACCGGACTTCTTTCTGCGGATTGATCTGAACCATATGGAAGCCTGATCAGAGCGTTCTTAGCTACAATCTCTTCCTCTAGCAACCATCTGCCATATCACCATATCACCATCTGAATGTCCAAACTGACCAATCAGAACTGGGAATTCAACTATGCCACGTAACAAGGTGGTGCAGGGTTGATATATTTTTTAAGGCTGACCCGGATGTAAGCATCGCAAGGGCTCCCTCGGCCAAAAGTCGATTTTGAAATATAGTAACAAAATAGGTTTTGTTATAAACACACATTTATGGTACTTTCATGTTTTGTTCAGCATATAACCAACAATGTTATAATAATTGGAGCGTTAATGCAATCGCGACAAGTAAATAGCTAATATTAGGCTATAAACAAACTACATGAATTTAAAACACCACCTTCGCTAAGCTAAATACTGACTCAAGTTTGACGAGTTGAAGTTTACTCGTTTCCTTTTTGTCCCTTGTTTGCAACCATCGTTTTAAAGACACGTAAAAGCTACAGGCAATCACAAGTGGGTTATTCTTTTCTATTTTTGGGGGAAAATCTTGTAAGCTTTTGTTAACCACAGACCATATATAAGAAGTCTAACCAGAAACTCATTTAAAATCATTTGAGTTCATCGGAGCCGGGGAGAGCACTTATTCTTCGGTTTAGAACTCATTTGTGCGCCATTTTAAAAACACACAAAGAGACATAATGTTAACACACAACATATACAGTATATATAAAAACAATTGTGAAGTGTGGTCAATAATTTGCTTGGGCTGCTGATTTGAATATGTAGTGTGTTGTTGTGGTATAAAATGAAATAGTCATGCATTGGCACCTACTTTTGTTAAGAATGTTAACTATGTTATATGCACACTATCACAGCCATTCTGTGCCTTGTCTTCATCCCACTTCACCAGATAAAAGCCCTATCCACTCAACATCACATAATTCTACCAACAAACATAAGTAGTGCGCACTGACAGCTGCAGCAGAAAATGAAGTTGTATGTGTATGAATTTTGAGACGATAAGCATGATAAGAACTAGTGAATCGGCGGCTGTCACTGGTTGCGCTTAATTTATGTGTGACGCTAAAACAGAATCGGAGATGACAATCGCCCTGGATGTGTCAGTAAAGCCTCACCTTGTCTCTCAGATGATGTTCTGCTGCATCGATGTTCAAAGGGTCATCAAAGTTCAACAGGTCCTGGATCAGAGGCAAAGAGAGAAGACGACGTGAGGACAGAAAAGTGTTATCGAGAAAAAGTTGAAGAATAGCGAGTCATGAAAGTGATTAATCATGAACGCAAAACGCTTTGTCTTCTTATTAGAGAACTTTGCATAGGTCAATAGTCCTATCTGTAATGCACATTTGGTTTCCAAAAAACCAACTGCAGAGGAAGATATTGCCCATTCAGCACTATTTGCAGTCTGCAATGTCACCCTGGGTTCTGCAAGTGGGGAAAAAGAAAGCATTATAATGATGATGTTGCCATAGAGACAATGCACAACAAGGGAGGCAAGTGGAGTGTTATTAGAGATAAAAGAAGAGGAAGGCCTCAGAGGTTGTATCCTTATTAGGAGGTGAGATTTAGGGCATGACCACACATCAATGCAGATTACCATCATCATTTTCATCAGAGTCAGTGATGACTTCTGGGTAAATTTAATCGATAATGGATTTATGCAAGCTTGAGGTTAGCAAAGTATGCCAAGCTAAATAATCTCATTGCTTTCAGCTGCTTATTTACGGTTGCTTTGGCATCCAAATGTTTAATTAATCGGACAAATGTCCTGTTCATTAACAAGATTGTAACATATCCTCCATTCCATTTTATTTGAAAGCATGTTCGCAGTCATTTTCACCCAATTAAATCCTATTTAGCTTGTCTATATTTCAATTGTATTCTGAACGATTAAACATTTCCACATTTGGTCCTTTAACATAACTTAAAATCTGATTTGTTATCTTAATCTTCCAAAGAATCTGTAATGAAGTTACAAACCCTAACTGTATGAATGAGCAAAAAGGGACATCCAGACACAATAATAATGCGTTGCTATTTCCCCTACGTCTCAAAGTGTTGTTCATAATGAGAAAGACAATTTCCCTAATGTCTAAAATGATTGAATTATTTCAGGTTTAAAGAGCGACATAATCAATGCTTGGACTCAATCATTGATTTAACCTACCATACCACACTCATGTGATTCAGTTCAATACTTTGTGTTAACGATAGGGGGTTCTAATTAATACTTTCCTTTTATTTTTTAGATTTTATGGAAAACTGCATATAGGTTTAACATTTATTTTTCTAAAATCTGCACAAATGATATATGTTCTGGCCATTTAACCGGTCACTATGATATTTAAGCAGTTTATCTTTAAACAACAAATCCATGTTAATAGATTTTAAAAAATTCAAAACTTACAGTAAACAAGGAGTTCAATCCCCAGACAACGTCCTAGAAAAAAGAAGAATGAAAGAAGTATTAATAATGAATAGTATCACAGTATTACATTTAAATTCACATATATTCTTGTCACAACAGACTATATATAACACAAGTTAGCAACAGAGTGCAAGTAAAAATATGTACTATAATATATAGTGTTTGCGTATACATAAAGAATATACTAAACATTTTTACCCAAACCAAATCTATCTAAAGTATTAGCTGATAATACCAACATGTATTTAAATTGGCTGTATAAAGCTCACGTGATACATTTTGATCTGTGTCTTATAACACGGATCCTGGAATACCCAAATATATACTATGTAAAACAAAGCGAGTAAACCAGCATTTGACCTTCACAAGGATTGCAGAATTTCTCAGACCTTTCCCTTGAGACAAAGCAGTAGCACATCGGTACAAAAGATATAAGTTCAAAACCATCAAGTCCCTCTATCTTCTAGCATCAGGAGCCATGGGACTCTTTAATGTACCACTGTAACATGCACGGCAGGACTCTAATGTACTGTACGCCTGAAAGCAGCTATAGGCATGAGGGTTCTGTGTCTGAAAAAGAAAACAACAGCGACATTATAATTGTCCTTTTTATACTGTAGCTTATGACTTTCGGTATCCCAAAGGAAATGCAAGGCTGAACATCAAGGATCTTGTCGAGTTTTAATACAATTTGTAAATGGGCAAAGTAAAAATAAATATTAACGCTAAACCTCTGTTCCAACTAAACACAGCAGTCACATAGCGATGGCTATACAAATTGTTTTGGGAAGTTTTATTTCTGCTGCAATGAACTGTGAGGTGGTTCTGTGATTAACAATTTAAAATGCATGCTCTCAGGGATTCCGTTCAATTATCTTTCGCTCATTCCATTTGTTTCATTTACATAATGAAATTAGGCTTTTCAACGGTTATAGAAGCAAAAGAAAAAATATCTTGCAGAGAATAGCTGACTGAATCACAAAGCTAAGGAGAGCAGACTGTAGATTAAAATAGAGGAAATTATTATAAGTGCACAATGATAAAAATAGCAGATATTGTCTGGGACTGAATAATAAGACTTTGAAATGTATATTCTCCAATGTCATTTTCCCTAATTGAGCTGTCCGTTTTCTGCAGCTCAAGTGGTGTATAACTCCAGGGGGCCAGAAACCAGCAATATCCGCTCTTCTATTACTTTATTCTCAGTTGTTGAAAAGTTGAAGCATCACTAGCAGCAAGAAGTACCATGTTCACTTGACAGCTCCTTTGTTACAATTTTGTCTGTATAAAGTGCCAGATTAACTTGTATTTTTATGAGTGTATATATACAGCAGTTTAAAATAAATAGATATAGAAAAAGAGAAATATATTCAGTTGAAATTAAAGGGGCTCTATTATGTAAATGTCCAGGTTCATAATTCTATGTTGTGCCTCTCCTGTGACATGTTTACATGCTTTAATGCTACAAAAGCACTTGATTTTTCTCATACTGCCTGTGCTGCAGCACCTCCTTTCGACCTCTGTCTGAAACCAGAGCCCTATTCTGCTCTGATAGGTTAGCTGGCCGGCTCTGTTGGGAAGACTATGCTATAACACCCCTTGTTGTTAAATACCAATTATGTGCAATATATATATATATATATACGGTATATATACAGTGGGGCAAAAAAGTATTTACTCAGCCACCAATTGTGCAAGTTCTCCCACTTAAAAGGATGAGAGAGGCCTGTAATTTTCATCCTAGGTATACCTCAACTATGAGAGACAGAATGAGAAAAAAAATCCAGAAAATCACATTGTCTGATTTTTAAAGAATTTATTTGCAAATTATGGTGGAAAATAAGTATTTGGTCAATAACAAAAGTTCATCTCAATACTTTTTTATATACCCTTTGTTGGCAATGACAGAGGTCAAACGTTTTCTGTAAGTCTTCACAAGGTTTTCACACACCATGCAGATCTCCTCTAGAGCAGTGATGTTTTGGGGCTGTCGCTGGGCAACACAGACTTTCAACTCCCTCCAAAGATTTTCTATGGGGTTGAGATCTGGAGACTGGCTAGGTCACTCCAGGACCTTGAAATGCTTCTTACGAAGCCACTCCTTCGTTGCCCGGGCGGTGTGTTTGGGATCATTGTCATGCTGAAAGACCCAGCCACGTTTCATCTTCAATGCCCTTGCTGA